TATCTGCTTGGGACCTAAGACCCCACACCTGTCAGGTGGGAGGGTGAGGTCAGCCAGGTTAGTACCCTCCTACACACAGGAAAGTTTGCAGTTTCACTTCCAGGAAGGCCCACCGTGTGCCTACTGTGCTCCCCACTTCCCTGGGCCCTGTTCCTGAGTCCTGTGCCCACCCATTTCATGCAATTCCACGAAGGAGCCCACTTCACCAGCCTCTGCCTCTATCCCTCTGTGGCCCCATCTGCTGTTACACAAGAGCCCTGGAGGCCCCACAGATCAGGGCCTGCCTCTTTTTGTACCCAGCCCTTGCCACTCCAGGCCTTGGCCCGGGGGCTGAGCCAGGCCCTTGCAAGCCTCTCATGCTGCACCTGTCCATGCTGGCCCTGCTCACCACGGGTGGCAAAAGCAAGTCCTGCCTGACCCCTCATGTCCAAGCAGGCTTCTCTGCAATGCCCCTCCATCGTGCCAGGACTCGTGCCACCTGGAGCCATTCATCTGCTTGCTGGGCTGTCTTCTCCCACAGAGAATGGAAGCCAGAAGACCATGGCCTCAGCCTATTCACCATGCTCTTCCTGGAGCCAGACGCACAAACAAATACCTAGAGAAGGCTCCAAAAAGCACTGTATGAATGAATGAATAGTAAAGGAATGGGTATCTCCTGGGGGAACCAACACTACCAAACATTCACAGTCAGAACCAAAATGGGCTCAACTTTCTTGAACAACCAAAATACATAAACACCTTTCTTTTTTAGTGAAATAAACCCAGCATGGAGCTTGCCTGGGGTTTCCCTTCATCCACAGCTTCTCCTAGGACACCACAGTGGTCTTATTGCAGACCACCTCTCTCTCTGGAACCGACCCAGAACACCTTGGCTTAGATGGCCGGAACTCTGTCTTGGAGTTGAGCCCAAGGTCTCAGGCTCACAGTTGAGGGCTGGTGGAAGGGGCCTGACAACCCCCTGGATGCCTGGCCATGAGCCCTATCCTCTGGAAGAACAAACACAGGAAGGGAGCAGAGGCCTTGAGCCCAGGGTGGTCCCCTGGGTCTAAATGAAGTCCTCCTTTCCCTCGGCCTTAACAACTGGCCAGCCCAGGACCCCACAGGGAGGAAATACTGGGTGGGCACCAGCCTGCCTGGGTCAGAAGCAGGACACGGGATTTGGGAAAAGGCACACCCAGTCCCTGATATGAAATCAGGCAGATGCCTGGCTTCCAATCATTACTCCAACATTGATGTTTCCAAAGGTCACACGAAGAGATTAAATCCTCTGGACCTCAGTTTCCATAGGTATCAAAAATTCATCATTTCTACTTTAAGAGGATTACTGGGTATTTTGCTTCCAGACGCTATACCTGGCTGGGTCCATTGATCCTTCAGTTGTCCTGATGAGCTCGTTATTCATATGGGGAAAATACACCCAGGTATCAATCATGCTGTGTGACCTAGCCCCTAAAAACCTGGCTAACCAAGCTGTTTCAAGGCTGAGCCATACCAATGGAGCCATATCTACTTAATTCTGCAAAGTAACTAGGCCTAGATGAATTTAGCTTACACATGCATGCAGCAGACATTCCACGCATATTTTTCAATGAATAAGTCCAAAGATACGTTGTATCTATATTGATCTGACTCATCAAGTCTGATGAACTAGCATCTCTTTCCTTCACAACTAGGTGTGTAGTCAAGCACTAATCCACCTTGTGCTTTGATACTGCGGTCAAGGCAGAAAATCAGATTTAAACCATTATAAACCTAACAACTTTGACACAGGAGTTTCTCCCTAATGTAGGGTGTGGGGAAACTGAGCTGGTGGGTTGTTAAATCTCCTTATTTCTTTCAGATATTATCTGTCAGCTCCCTCATGGAGTAGGCTTTCAGTAACAAAAGGATCTTGTCAAAATAGAGTAATTATTCAGCAAAAAAGTTCGTAAGTATGCACTATGTGGACTATCACTATGTTTTGCAAGGATAATGAGCAAAAGCATTCCTCTTTCAGTCTTGCTCCACAAATAATGAATAAGAAAGAACACTGCCTAAGACTGAGGTTTGGCAAAAAATTAGGTGAAACCCATCCATTCTGTGCCTCCAACATGATGTCACAGAGGGCTCCTGGTGACTCTATAATTACCTAGCTCTGTGCTGCTCCACCTCAAGCTTCACAGGCAAAACACTGCATCCACCAAAGCAGTAGCCTCTCAGGGCAAGGAAAGACTTCAGCCTTCCATTCCACAATGGTACCCCTTAGCCTAAGAAAAACCACCTGCTAAAGCAAACTTGCAGAAAGGACAGCTAGGAGCCAGCTATTCCCTTTGCAAAACCGTCTAAGGATTGCATTAAAATGCCTTTACAATGGACTGGCCCATGATTTAGCAAGTGGCCTTGATTCATCAGGGGCTGGGTCGCCTAACCCAGGGGCAGGACAGAGATGCTGCACTTACCAATCGCACTGTGATTGCAACACACACGGGTTTAATGTCAGAAGGTCTAGGTCCTCATCCCAGCTGAGTCACTAATGAGATGTGTTTCAGACACAGGTCACCACACTTCTTTGGTTTTAGTTTTCTCATCCAGAGTCGGAGAATCATTAATAAAAAGCAATTACCTACTCCCAGAGGTAAGGGGGAAATCAATGGATGTGAAAGCCATATCCAGAAGTCAAGGACCTTTGCTATTATACATATATATGTGTGAAATAAGAGACACATGGAAAATTACCTGTATCCAATCTTGTTCACACTGAATTGTTTCCTCTTACTAATGAAAGAAAGAGCTGCAATGTAAGAGATGTCTGTGAATCAGGATGAGCTTGCAGCTCTTGGAGAAGGGGCACTGCTGTCTGTCACCAAGGACCTGAGATCCACTCTGGAACAGCTTTTGGTGCCCTAGGATGGCCACAGAGGCAAATGCACCTGCCCACCACAGCTCTATGGGGGATGAGGCCCTAAGTATGCCAGACTCTCACACCGTGCTAGGAGTGTCTAGAACACTGGCTACACTGTGAACAGGTATGAGGAACCACAATCCACACATGACACACAGAGTCAAGTGAGAGGAAGTAATGGAGGGGGAGGTCACCTTCCCAGTTCCCATAGGTGCCCCCAGCTACATGCTGCTAGGTTTGACTGAGCTTTTTCTAATCTCGCTTGAGACAACAGTGAAAAATTTTCAACAAATCATCACTCCTCTAGGAAATCCATAGAAAGAAAAAGTAGGGCAAACCCACACTGGACTCCTCTGCTTAGGGTAGCTGGAACCACAGGTGTGTGACAGCTCGCCCGGCTCTCACCCTCCCATTTTCAACCCTTCCCATTCAGTTGTCCTAGAAGCTGAACAAGACCAGAAAGAAAATCACAGGATTGAGCTATAGGGATGATCAGAACAACCCAAGAGGGTGACCACTGTCATTGGCTTTGCCAGAAAAGCCAGCACAGAGGGAGTAGCTTTAATGAGAGCCCCAGAGGAGCTATGATTGCCCAAGTCCTAGAGCAAAGGCTCTCAAATTCCAGTGTGCATCTGAAGCCCCTGGAGAGGTGTTAGACACAGGAACCAGAGTATCTGAATTAGCAGCTGATGGGCCATGCTTGAGAAAATGACAACAAAATGAACAGGAAAGTGCTGCTGGGGCTATCATTTCTACTGGGCAACTTCAGATCCTGATTCATCCCCCTGCACCCCAAACTGATCCTTGAGAAAACTCCTAATAGGAAGTAGCTGTGTTCCTCACTCCCCTCCTCCTCTCATTCATTCACCCATGGTGCTGTAACTAAGGGCTACAATCAAGTCATTTCTGATAAATGTGACCAGGGCTGAGTACCTGGGCACAACTGTGTCCCTGTGCACAAGACAATTTTGTGGAAGTGAATTAGGGAGCCAAGAAGAGGAGCCAGCAATTCAGCAAAAACACTCCCAGGCTCTTTGGTCCAATTCTCTGACCTGCTGCACAGTCCTTCTCTCAGTGACAAGAACGTGTCACTGGGACAGTGCTAGGGAAATGCTGTGACCTGCTTTTCTCCTCGCTAATTTGTCCCGATGATCTGCCACAATGCACTGTGATTTCCCACTGAGAGTTTACTTCATGTCACCAAATTGTCACCCAGCCAGCCTCACCAGCGAGCCAGTGCAGAAGATGACAGCAAGTAAGACAATCACAGCACCTCTGGTGGGTGTCAGGGCAATATCCCTCCAAACCAGGATCAGTGGACTTCCGACCTGGAAGGAGACAATACAAATGCTCCCTTTCTTCCCAAAGCTGACTGCATTATAGTGCACACTGCTTTACCAACAGCAGGAGTTCCTGCCACAACAGTGTTTTGCTTTATGGGGAATTAACGGAAGTTCCTACAGAGACAGCGTTGTGAACAATGTAAACACTCGGATAACAGCCTATCCGACAGTCTCCCCTTGACTCAAGGTGGGAAATCTGGCTGGTCTTGAGATTTTCTGCCAATGGACAGAAGAGGTAACACAGAAACCCAACTTAAGGTTAAATAAGGAAAAAGAGCAAACAGCAATTTGTTCAGAGCTTTTTAATAAACACAGATGGTTAAAAAAGTCTGCAAATACCTGGTCTTACAGATAATACATAGGTGTATTCGGTGGAACAAATATGATTTTCCCTCCATTAATAAAAAAAATCTGGTTAGTTCTTTTGCACATGCAAACTGTGCCAGTTCCCAGGCTGAGTCCCTGCTTCTGTGAACCCTATGCAATCCTGCCAATCAAACGACCACCTCTAACGCAGTGACACCAACACAACCTCCACTTATCCCAAACTAAGGTCCATCTCAGACACACCACACTCCCAATAAGCGCCTTGAGCCCTGATAGCCGTATCCAGAAAACCACAGAGCAGAAAGAGCCCAGCCTCAGTGACAGTACTGGTCTGGGTCCCTAGAACACGGATTTAATACTTTTGCCCCCTCCAGGCTCCCAGATGAGAGCATAAATCTATATTTGCCTCCAAAACATTTGCCCAACACCCTTTGTGGCTCTGAACTCACCTGTTTTCTAAGAGCGTCATGCAAACCACCTCTCGCACACCAGGATTGTTGGCCTTCTCCACGGAGCAGCCCTGCAAGTTCCAGGTGGCCAGCCTCAGCACTGGTTGCCCATCCCTCGTGCCACCAAAGGCCTCCACCGAGGGCCTCGTGGAGATGATCTGGGTGGGTCCCCCCGGTGGCAGGTCCAAGTCCTCGCTCTGCAGGCTCAGAGAGGTGGGGCTGGGGTGAGGCCTGACGGTGAAGGTCAGGCCCCCATTGGTGTGGGTGGATGGGGGTCTGGACCTCTCAGCAAACACCTGGTGCCGTATCCTGTCCAGAAAGGTGGCGTTGATGCCATCCATCCTCACCAGGTCCTCTATGCTGCGGAAGGGACCGTGCTCCCGGCGGTAATCCACAATGCTGAGGGCCATCTTCTCCGTGAGGCCTCGCACACTCATGAGCTGGGCAGGGGTGGCCGTGTTGATGTTGACACGGGGCGTGAGGGGCACGGAGGTGACCAGGTGGTGAGGCTGCTGCTCAGCCAGCAGGTCCCGCCGCAGGGAGCTGGGAGAGTGCTGTGCAGAACTGCCCTTACTGCTCACACAGATCTCAAACTTGACCTGCTCCAGCTTGGTGGCACCCACGCCGCTGACCAGTGCCAGGTCCTCTACCTTCTTGAAGCCCCCGATGTACTCTCTGTACTCCACAATGCTGTGGGCCACCGCCCGGGTCACCCCAGGCAGGGTCATCAGCTCCTCCTCTGTTGCTGTGTTGATGTTGAGCCGCTCCTGGTTCACCAGGATGTTGCTGAAGTTGCAGGCTGCGCTGAACTTGCGGCTATGGGACAGGTCGGAAGGGTCCCTGGGGATGGAGCGGTGGCAGCCCAGGGTGCTCCCCATGGTCGGCCAAGTCCAGGGCCCAGGAAGGTGTCCCCACCGCAGGAAGCGGCCTGGAAGAGCTTACAAGGCCAGAAGGGAAAATGCAAGGTTTAGGGGCTGATGAGGTTGCTGCAGACAAACACCAACACTCCCATGTCTCAAGTATCCAAACCACCTTTCCCTTGGCCACCTAGGGAAGAGAAGAACACACGAATCCTTTGAACTGATCTTCTGCCAGTGGAGTTCCGAGTTCCCGACCAGGCGCTCAGGTCGAGGGCTGCAGTGGACTGAAAGTGCAGACACGCAGAGGCTGGCGCAGTCTCCCCGGGGTCCTGGGGAGGCCTCCCCCTTATTAAGCCTTCCCTGCCTGGCCACACTGTAGAGGAGGGCGCACCCCGGAAACTCTAGCCCGCCGAGCGGACCGGTGAGGGGCTCAGGGTCGCGCCCCTTTTAGGCGCTCCAAGGGTCCGCCCCAGTCCTCTCTGAGGACTGCGCCGGCCGAGTCCCAGTCCTGACCCTGGAACGGACTCGGTGTTACTCCTTCGGTAGGAGAAAAGCAGCCTCACAGGCTGCACCGAGACTGCCCGCCGCGCTTACCCAGGCGAAAGGGCCCGCACCCAACTCGGCGCGGGGTTCGC